TTGTGCTGACCCTCTCCTCCCCTGCCAGGGCCCAGAGTCCCCTACAAGGCCACCATCTGCAGAGGACCCAACTGGAGGCTGGCCCTTCCCTAGCCTGCAAGGCCGGCTCCCCTCATTCCAGCCCCAAGAAATTCCCCAAGCAGGGGTTTACAAGGTCTCTTTGCATTTTAAAGGCAACCTCCTGTGGTCCACCCCACCCCCCAAAAAGAAAACTTTTCAAAACTTTTCAGGTCCGTTTACATTTTAATATAAACCCCTCTGGGCCTGTTGCCTGGGATTTAGGACTCAGCAGCCCCTAAATCCAAAATCTCTTTGGGGGAAGGTTTTTATTTTTACCGCTGCCCCTCCCTTGCACGGGGCTGGGCCCACCCAGGGCTTTTGGAAGTCGGGGTGGTCACAGACCCTGGGAGCATGGTCCCTCACAAGGCCTGCGATCAGGCCAGGGTCACTGGGCAGTCACATGTCGCTTTGAATGAGAAGCCTTGACCTGAAGCTGAGAAATGAAGTTGGGAAACAGCTCAGCCGAAGGCAACTGGACTTTTGTTTCTTATGATGTTTTTTTTCTTATGTTTTCTGGGGGAAAAAAGCCCTCTATTGTCTGACTAACCTTCCATGATGCTGGAAAATTGAATTTGTTTCCTGAACAGTCTGGTCCAATTTCCCCTGGGTGGGGACGAGCCTGGCCTCCCCTTCCTGCTGCTTCAATTTGGAAACTTCTGGCTCTACTCAGAGACCAGGACCCAGAAGGGAGGCAGGGACCCTGATCCCTGGACCTGCCAGGCCGTAGCACCCAGGATCCTCCCCGCGGTCCTCGCTCGGGAAGCTGTTTCTGGATCCTCAAGTTTCCTTGTCCTCTCTATCTTAGCAACCCGGGTTTGCTGGGCCGCCATCTTAGCCTGTCCCCCACCCACCGTAGCTCTGTGCCCCCCAGCTCCCTACCTCTGTCTCTAGGCTCTCGGGGCAAGCCAATAGAGGTACAGCTGTAAAGCATTTGTGCTGGCCGCCAGGCTGGCGGGAGGGCCATCTGCAGCCGGGTAGCTGCCAGGCGTGCGATGACGGGAACCCTGGGCCCCGGCCCAGCCCCAGCCCTTCCACCCCAACCCCCAGGGCAGGAACTTGGCAGTCTACCAAGGCCAAGGAGTCCAAGGGTGAGAGGAATGGCCTCGGGGCACTCCTGGAGTCGGGGGACAGGCATAGCTAGCCCCTATTTGGCAACCTGCAGCTGAGCTGAGCTTCAGAAACGGGGCTCAGGCTCCCAGAGGAGGCGTCATAAATTCTAAGACTGCCCCCCTAAGCCTCAGTGAGAGACTTGTCCCCAGCTGGCCACCGTCCCACCATAATCCTCTGTGGGTAACAGAAAAGTTCCCAGGCCGCTAGCCTGGAGAGGAGAGAGAAGGAAAGTACTCTCTCTCCCAGCCCTGATGAAAAGGACCCTCCTCACCTCCACTTCCCCTTAGCCCACGCCCCCTCTCCCCTCCCAGGGAAGGGCATTGAGTCAGTGGACTGCAGAGACAGGCCTCCAGCCACAGCGGACCCATCTGGTTCCAATCAGGGGAGCTGGTTCCCAGATTGTGGAGGGCACACGGGGGAGGGAGACCACAACCTCACAACCTCACTACCTCACTGTGCACCCCTCCCCACAGCGTGGCCCCCTTTCACCTCCCAGAGGGGCCTCACACACAGCCACTGGAAGACTAGGTGAGGCAGGGAAACTTTAGGGGGCCTGGGCCTGCCTTTTCCTACCAGTGGTCTAACCATACACCCCAGACCTCTGCCCTTAGTTAGACAACTAGACCACAGAGGAGAGAAGGGAAACTGCAGGAAAGAAGGAGCCTGGAGGGAGGAGAAAGGGCTGCAAACACAGAGCAAGGGAGCCCCAGAAACCACCAGGTCCCAGCTGGATTTTATTACAGATGGGGACCACAGGTCCTGAGAAGGAAGTCCAGTAGAACCACTTACTGGACTTGGCCCCAAGCCCTATTCAGGCATTCTGCCCACTGGCCCTCACAGGAACTCTATAGATAGGAATCACCATCCCCATTTGACAGATAGGAAAACTGAGGCTCGCAGGATTGAAAGGTCATACCTGCCCAACCTCACCCAAGTAGTTAAGTGACCAGGTCTGTCTGAGCCAAAGTCTGGGCACTAGGCTGCCCTCCACAAAGTCAAGGTTGCCTCAGCAGCCCAAGCCCCAGGAACCCATTTTGCTTTCCCTGCTGCCTCCAGACTTGGATGAGGGCCTGCTCTGGTTTCCCTCACCCACCCAGCCCCAACCTCTGTCTCCAGGCTCAGGGTGAAAGGATAAAACAGCCTCCCCGGTCACGCCTTGGCGCCAGGGTCCTCTCCTGGCTCTGGATGACACTGGCCCCTGGGCCTCAACTTACCCATGGATAAAATAGACCGAGTTGTCTGAAACTGGGTTGAACAATGATTCTGTGATTCTCCAACCCTCCATTCCTGTCATCCTGAACAAACCTAGAGGCTTCCCCTTGGCTTGGGTGGTCTTTAGAAGGTTCTGACCCCAATTTCAGAATTTAGAGCCAGCAAGGGGGCCAAGACAAAGAGGGGACCCAGCCAGCTATGGAAGCCGCTAATCTCCATCTCTCCCTGAGGGGACTTCACTGCTGCCTCCACTGAAAGCAATTTGTCATGCCCTGAATTAAGTGATTCCAACAAGGGTTTAATTTCAGTTTAATGGCTCTGTTTTTATGTGTAATTAAATACCACTGCATGGCAAAAATATGTTGTTTGCACTTTAGAGACTGTGTAAGGGTCCAGGAAGCCAATCCCACCGGGTTTCCACTCCCAGGCTCCACCAGCCCCGCCCCTTGCCTGGCTGGAGTTGTCCAGGTCACGGAGAAGGGGGTTGGGGACCTGGGGAAGGGAGGGGGACAGTGAGGGGAGAGGTCGTCCTGGTGGCGCCTGCTCACTCATTAGGGTATGTTTCTAATTATCTACAGCACCCCCACTTCTACTCCCTGAACCCAAGCCTCCCCAACCTCTGGGGCCTCAGACATAGAGGGGACAGGTTACTCTCCAGTTAGGATCTAATTACGCACCACGCTGGCTGGCACGGTGTCTGCTCCCCCGCGCATGCGCATGTGCCTGCCCCGAGGTCCGTTCCATTGCCCCTCCTCCACTCACTGCTCCCGTTAACTCCCTCCTCCCCCTTGAATATGCTTCCTCCTCGTTGACCCTCTCCCCAGACTCACAAAGCGCCCCCTTCCTCCCCTCTTCCCTAGGACAACCCAGCATCCCAGCTGCCATTGCCTCCCAGCTCCCTCCAACCACATCATCTTGACTTTCTCTTTCGAGGTCAGAGGTGACATTGCCATAGGGGTCTGGAATGCAGGGGGAGTTTCTCTGACTGGGAATATTTCAGGGTCATTTACCACACAGCCAGATCCCCCCAGAAAGGGGGACCCCTGAGCAGGAGCCCCAAGTCCTGCATGCCTCATAACATTCCTGGAGTAACTTAGTGGTGGAATCTGGCCCAGAGGGCAGAGGGGTTAGAACAAGCAGCCTTTTCCTGGAAGGGGTTGAAGGAATGGCTGTGTCTGGAACCTCAGGTCCCTGATAGGAGAAGGGGCCAGGAGGCTTGGCCAGCTCTCCAGAGACTCCCCCACCTGAATCCAGTACTGGAATCAATCCAAGTCTCCATTTTTTTCTCTCTACTCCCACCTGGCCGCCTTGACAATGGAAAACCCAGCCTCCACCCCTCAGCCAGACATCAGGTCTTGATCTCCACTGGGGAGCCGGGAGATGCAAACCGAATGAATGCCTGATGCCAGTCAGCACCAATGGGCTAGGGGGTCCCCCATCCCCCTGCTCCAAACCACAGTGGGAGGAATGACATTTCTTAGGGAGGCAGGACAGACCACTCAGGACTTTGGTTTAAAGTTATTCTAGGGGACCTCCCTGGTGGTCCAGTGATTAAGACTTCGCCTTTCAATGCAGGGGGTTCGGGTTTAATCCCTGCTTGGGGAGCTAGAATCCCACATGCCTCAGGGCCAAAAAACCAAAGCATAAAACAGAAGCAATATTGTAACAAACTCAATAAAGACTTTAAAAAATGGTCCACATCATAAAAAACTTTAAAAATCTAATAAATTAAAAATTAAAGTTATTCTAGGTATGGTGGCCCCACCAGGACACAAGAGTTTGGTCCTTGCCTCCTCCTCCCTTCCACCTCTGCCAAGATGCTGATGCCCCTGTGGCAACTAGAGTGACCGTTCAAGGGTATTTGGAGCCCACGGGAGGGCTTAGGTACAAACTAGACCAGCAATTCCTCTCTGGAGCCCAGTTCTCCCCACTGTGACACTACCCAGGGCAGTTCACTTCCTCTGGCCTGGCAGTGGTAGAGGGTGTCCACATTGACACGGAGTTGCTTTTATTTTGGCCCTGTCACACGGCCAAAATAAAAATGTGGCATCTTAGTTCCCCGACCAGGGATCGAACCCGCAACCCCTGCCACGGAAGCACAGAGCCTTAACCACTGGACCGCCAGGGAAGTCCCCAGAGTTGCTTTTATTTCCTTCTTTTTTGACAACGAGGACCTGGCTCCCAGATGGTGCAGGCAAGCACCAGGGGTGGGGGGCGTTCTGTGGGATATAGGATTCCCACTCCCAAAGTGCACATCCTCTGTTCTCCTGTGCTAGACAGCTCCCTACAAGCCCTGCACTGAGGACACCTAATGAGTGGAGGAGGGAAGTACATACATACACTGTGAATTTCACTCCCTCTCTCTTCACATCACACCCATTCATACTCAGATTCATACAGCCCACCCAGACACACCACACAAATGTGTGTCACATCTACACACACCCAGCCGAGGTACACACGCCCTGTAAAAGCCCACACTCTCACTCACATTTCAGGTGTCACTTCACTATATGCACACACATGCGTGCACACACACATTATAAATACACACCTATCACAAAGGCACATCCCAGGCCACACGTGCAGCTACTTCGCAAGCAGACCCAGGTTTTTTTTGGAGGCACATGAAAAGAAAAGGACCTCTTACCACCCATTCCAAGGATACAAGAATAAAGCATTAGGAAGGGAGGCTGGAGACAAAGGGGAATTGAAAGAGATGCCTTGGGGAAAGAGATACTCTCCCTACATTTGGCTTAGGGACCTAAAACTTCATCTTCAGCCTACACTCAGCCTCCTCTCCCAGCATGCCTTGGCCTCGGCCCCAGAAGGAGGGGGCTCTGTGAAGAGCAGGCCCCCCAGCTGAAGGAGCGTCACTTTGTTCTTTATCTCCTGCTGCTGGCAGCAGCCTGTGGTGCCTCAGGAAGACTAGATGGCTGTGGGATGCCGCCACAGAGGCAGAGTTAGAGAGATGAGGATTGCGGCCCCAGGCTCAAGATTCAGACGGCACAGGTGCCAGTGCATCAGGGGCCAGTGCAATCGAGAAGCCTGGGAGTGCAAGAGATCAAACACACACACACACACACACACACACACACACACGCACACACAGCACAAAGGTGGGAGGTAAGGAGCATTGGGAGACGACCAGGAATCCAGTGGTACCACGTGGGCACACATTCTGGGGCTGGCACTGAGAGCCCATAGCCTGGCGAGTCCAGGACAGCAAGATCAAAGATACCCCCACTCCCAACCCCTCAGAATGAAATCTCAGCCCCAACCCCCAGTCAGGAATCTAGGCAGTCAGAGCTGTGGAATGTGTTGGAGAGCTTACCCCCTTTCCCTAGCTTCAGGGCAGTACCTCCCCTCACTAAATCGATAAATCAAATCCAGATGCGAACCCAGTCTGCCTGATGCCCTAGGAAATGCCCCCGCTTCACACACCAGCTGATCCCAGAAATGGCTCTGGCCCAGCAGGGCTGGCCAGCCTGCTCCCTCCCTTCAGAAGCCATTACTGGCCCACCAGGAGTCTGAACACAGACAGCACAGCCTCTGGGGACGGAGAGGCTCCCCAGGAAGAAGCTGCAAGGAAGAGGAGGGTGAATTGGCTGACCCTTTGCAGTCCTTTTACCATGTAAGACAGTTCTCCCCACCCCTGGTGCATCCCTGTCTCTTAATTGTAAATAAATCAACCGAACAAAAATGACACAGTTTTTTTTGGTTTTGTTCTGTTTTATAAAAAAAAAAAAAAAAAAAAAAAAAAAAAAAAAAGACAAGACATCATGGCCAACTGGTAGGTTCCTAAGTCTCTTTCCATCCAGTCAAGCCAGAAAATGCCCAGTGGGTAGGGAAATATCGGGGAGGAAGGTCCAGGGAAGGAAGTGTGGGGAGGGAGGCAGAGCCACAGACAGTGAGCCACTGAAGGATGGAGTCATCCTGGTGACTTCCTGGCTGTGACCACAAATGGGGGAGGAAGCAGGACCCCAGGTAAGGCCCTCACCTCCCAGCATGTGGTTTCCTTTCTCCATCAGGCACATGCAGTCCAGCTGTGCATTCTTTCCTCCTCCCCAGTCACTGCTCAGAGATGGGCCCCACCTCCCCAGCCCTCTGTCCTGCAGGCCTTCCGCTGACCTCTTCCCTCCCCCAAAGCAGGGTCTCAGTTGCCAAGCAACAAAGCTAAGGTGGGCTTGTCCCTGCAGGTCCTTCCCCCTGGAGGGACCTGGGGGGGAGTAAAGGAGAGCCTGGCAGGCTTTAGCTTTGGAAACGGGTCTCAGTCGGTCTCCTAACCACTGAGTCATCTGCTACCCCACACTTTCCCTATGGCCTCCACCCTCTGACTAGTTTGACGGGAGGGACAACGGTCAAGGTACATGTCTATTTTCCTCCCCTCATTATGGGACTGGGACTTTTCTTCTCCTACAGACTTGTGCTCACCTTATAGGAGGTGGCCTCAACTGTCTAAATCAGAGGGAGTCACAATAAGAGCCCACAGGGCTGAACACTACAGCTGACATGTAGTATGTGGTCAAGAAGTGTTTATAGATGGTGGAAGGGCTGAATGAATCCAGGATCAATTTGGAAACATACCAGGGCTCTCTCAGGCTATCTAAGCCCAAAGGACACCCCTAGGCTTCGGCTCACCCCAAGGGCACACCCATGCTCATAAGCACACATGCACACACACAAACACACCCCAAGGGAAACTTCTGGGCCAGAAGCAGGGCCAGGACTCAGACCCAGGCTCCAGGTCAGCTCTGCAGCCTCCAGGGGAGGGGGCAGCAGGGGGCAGGGAGCCCCCTGCCTGCTGACAGGGCTCACTCGCGGAAGCTGTCAGCCAACTGATGGCAGTCCAGCTCCCCCTTCGGCTCCAGGCCCCCCGGAAGCTTCACTCCCGTCTTCCGGTCCACACACCAGCACTTGCCGCGCTGCCCATCCAGGGCCGGGTGGCACTGCCAAGACAAGGGTGTGAGAGGTCAGATCTCAGGCAGCTGGCCCCGATCCCAGCCCAGCCCCCAAGTCAGACAGTGGCTCCAAGATGGACTCCTGGGGGCACAGGCTTTCTTGAACATGGGTCCCCTGAGCTCACTGGAGTAAAGTTGGCCGAGAAGGAAAGGTCCAGACAGTTTTGGTGCAGAAGGTCCCGAAGCCAGGGTCCTGAGGCAGTTCTGTAGCCTCTACCTGGAGGGGAGACTAGATCCGTGGAGCTGAAAGGTGCAGCTGGATTTGAAAGGCTAGGGTTCAGGTTGGAGAAGTCTTTAATTTGGGTTCTGATTGTGTTTTAGTTTGGGCTCTGATTGTGTTGGGACTCTAAGAATAGGATTATGGTTAAGACTGTGATTATCCACATTGAAGTTAGCATAGGATCAGCATGACAGTTGCAGTTGAACTGGGAATTATGACTCAAACTTGAGTGGGGTGAGGCTTAGAGCCCAGGTCAGAAATGGAATTGGGATAGAGACAGAGGTCAAGGTCAGAACAATGAAAGCAGTTGGGCTAAAGGTTGGGTCGGGATTAGACGGGGGAGGAGGAAAAGTAGGGGGTAAAGGTGTATTTCAGAGTCAGGGTTAGAGTTGGAGTGAAGGTTGTCTCAAGGGTCAGAATTGGCCTGAAGATAAAGGGTCAAGTGTCAGAATTCTCAGTGGGATAAAAACCGGGGGGAAGGAAACACATAAACGTGTATAACACAAAGAGTGAACCCTAACGTAAACTATGGACTTTAGTTAATAACTAATGATCAATTTTAGTTCCTCAGTTGTAACAAATGTACCACACTCATGTTAATAGGAGAGGCTGGGGGTGGGAAAGTAGATGGGAACTCCGTACTTCCTGCTCGGTTTTTCTGTAAACTTAAAACTGCTCTAAAAAATAAAGTCTATTGATTTTTTTAACGTGGGGGGGCAGATTTTAAAAATTGGGACAAGGAGGAATTCCCTGGCGGTCCAGTGATTAGGACTCTGCTTTCACTGCCGGAGGGCCCAGGTTGGGGAACTGAGATCCCACAAGCCACACGGCGTGGTCAAAGAAAAGGAAAAAGAAAAATTGGGACAAGGATAAAATTGGTATTGGGATAAAGGCTGGAGGGAGGTTTGGTTTGGCGGGGAGACCTTTGTGGTCCTCCTCCTAGGTCCACCTCTTCATAACCTCCTCATGCCATCCTGGGGTGTGCGGACTCGGGGGCAGCCTTTCTCCTCCTAGCTAGGCCCCTTCTGGCTGAGTGGTGGTCCACCTTGTGGATTCGTCTGTAGAGCACGGAGTGGGAGGACGTGTGTGCCTACACCCACAAGGGCTGGAGGAGATCCAGGCCACACCCAGCACGAGGCACCCCACCCAGTGTCCTGCCCAGATATGCCACCCTTCCAAGTGAGCCCGACTGAGACAGGCCAGAGATGGGGCTGGAGCAGGCCAACCTCATTGACCATCCCAGCATCCTGGGGGCTTGTCAGAAGAGCCCACGTTCTAAGGGCGTAAGGAGGTACAGAGGTTTCTGCATTCCTGTCTTGTCTTCTGCCTTGTCCTTCCTCTGCTGCACCCAAAGTTCCCGTCTCCAGCCGTCAGGTCTGGCTTCACCTCCAGCCTGGCTGAACCCCAAGTGGTTTGGTGGCTCAGCCTGGGGGAAGGGGCAGGCTGAGTTTCCTCCTCAACTCTTCAAGACCTAGCCCCTCCATTCCCAGATGAAACCTCAGCCATGAGGAGTTCCCTGGCAGTCCGGTGGTTAGGACTTCACGCTTTCACTGCGAGGGCCTGGGCTCGATCCCTGGCCAGGGAACTAAGATCCCACAGGCCACACGTGGAAACCTCAGACATCCAGGGACAAAGGAGAACTCACAGGAATGGAGGAAGGAGAGTGAGAGAGGGTTGGAGGCAGAGGTTGGCAGGAATGCCAGGTCTGCATCACAGATGGTGACTACAGAGGTCATAGAAATAAGCCTGGACGGGGAGGCAGGGTAACTGGTCTACCTTTAACTCGCTCCGTGACTCTGGGCTGGCCTCTACCCCTCCCTGGGCCTCAGTCTCCTCATCTGCAAAATGAGCTGAGGTCCTGAGGTTGGGGGAGGGTTTGGGGAGGGTCCAAGGGGTTAGGTTTGGGTTGAGGAGCTCCCCCCTTCCTGAGACCTCCATCCTGGACATCCTGGAGCTGAGGCCGGGCCAAGTCAGCGGAGATGGAGACCCACCTGCTTGGGGTGGAAGTTGCCGTTGCGGTCGCAGTTGGGAATGGGGATGATGTAGAGGTCCTCGTGGGTGCGGCTCTGCGAGGCGGCCAGCCGCTCCAGGGCCCGGTGCAGCTCACTCTGGCAGGAGCCCTGGGGCTGGAGGAGGGGGAGGATGAAACTGCTCAGCAGAAGGGAGAGAGGCAGGAGGACCGGGGCTGGGGGTCAAATCAGGACTGCGGGCTCTGAAAGGAGGGTTAAGGCCTGGAAGCTGAGCAGGGCCCAACGAGGTAAAAGGAGGAGCTCGGGCTCAGGGGACACTGGCGGGCAGAACAGAGGGACATTGAAGAGAGGGCCTTGAGCCAAAAGGCTTCTAAAAAGGAGGGCTATGATGTGAAGGGACCTTGTGGGGAAAGGAAATCTATGGTGAAGGACAGGAAGGGGATGATTTCTAAACAGGAGTGACGGATGAAATCATATAATTAACAACTTGTAAGACCCAGGCACAGATCCATCAGAAACACCCACCAGAACGGACATTAGCCAGACCCTGGAGCAGGGTCCCAAGGCTCCCTGCTACGGCCAGCATGAACCCTTTAGCTCCTGAGAAGCTCTGGGGTGGGGACTCCCTGGGAAGGGCCAAGAAAAATCAGGAGGCTTGGGGCCACTGCTGTTCACCAACCAGTACGGAAGCGTCTCAGTGTTTAACGATAACTTCAGCTATCCCAGTGTCTAGAACTGGTGAGCAGGAAAGGAATTTCAAGAAGAGGAGTGAGGACTTCCTGGGTCCTGATGATGTATACTAGGTACATCTTGCACACAGCAGACACCTAAAGGATGTTTGCTGAATGGACATTGTCCAGATCTGGTGATGGTGGTGGTGTGTGTGCCTACGCACGTGAGCATTTGGTCAGAGATCCTCACCACAGGCCGGGCTTCCTCCCGAGGGACCCCGATGACCTTCATCTTGCCCCCACTGGTGCTCCGGTCTCGAATTTTGGCGAAGTGTTTCTGCAGGCACCTGCGGTCGTGGGCGCTGCAGGGGCTGAAGCTGTTATTGGGGTGATCACCCTCGTCCTTGTCTGCAATCAGGCCAACATGGGGAAAGGTCAGCGATGGGAAAGGACAAGGCAGCACAGCAACCCAGCCTCCCACCTGCTTTCTCCTTCTTAGGGATTCTCCAGCCTGGCGCTGGGGAAGAGCAGGGGCTCTGGGGGGTGCGAAGAAATGAAAGCAGCACCCCGGTTTCTTCCCCACTCCCCAGGACCTCCTCAGGAGAATATTCCTCTTGAAGTCCTCTTTTCAGCATCTCGCTGAGCCAGCCAGGGGATCCCCAGGGCTGTCGGCTCTGCTGACCCTCTTCCAAATGGCCAGAATCAAAGTTTCCATGAGTGATGAGAAATCTGGCCCAAAAACTCTCTCCATTGGCTGCACAGGAGAAGTGGGAGTGGGTGTGTATGCCTGCATGTGAGAGTGTGTGTGTGTGTGTGTGTGTGTGTGTGTGTGCGTGTGTCTGAGACACTGTGTGGTTCCAGGACCAAGAGAACACCCTCACACATCCCTTCAGCCCCCACCCCCACCCCAAAGTCTCCCGTCCTTACATTTCAGACCCCATCCAAAGTGCACATCTGTTGCCCAGAGCCAGGGTACTGGGGACGCGGAGATGGGGGTGGTGAGGCTGAACCACCACGCTTTCCCTGGGCTCTCCTAAAGGCTCTATCCGAACTCCAGAAAGACCCCATCCAGAAGTCCCAGAATTGTAACCGCCGCTCCTCCATCCAGGCGGCCAAAACCAGAACACAGGGCTGAGCTGGACAAAGAGATCGCAAGATCCCTCTGCAGATCAGAGCCACCTCTGAAATGCTCGGGTTTGGCAACTTGCTGCCGGCCTGAGTGCAGAGCCCCTGCCAGCATTCCAGATGTTGGCAGCAGGACAGAAGGTTACATCTGGTTTGCATCAGGATTTTTTTTCCTGAGGAGTTAGCAGGTTCCTCCATGATGGCAGCGGTCCCAGAGCTGCCTCTGGGTTAAATGGTATTTTTCTGCCGAGCCAAAGTTAGTTGGGGGGTTAGTTCTCTTTTTATTCTCCTAGTTCTGGGGGTCCAGGGGGAAGCACGTGGATAAAGGGAAACCAGGCAAGGAGGAATCTAGACCCCCAGAAAGTCTTTGTCAAGATTCCACACCAAAGGTTATGTCTAAAATTCAGTCACCGAGGATGGGAAGAGGTTTTGTCACTGATGCAGGGCTGGCTTAGAGAAAAGCAACAGAGGGAAGGAATAAATGAAGCAGACAGATATAATCCCTCCTTCTGCCTATTTCACATCCCAAGAAGGACAGTCTGGAGGGGACTTCTGTCCCAAAAGATCAAGTTCCCGAAGGTCAACCGAGGAGAAGCCACAACAGCAAGATTTCCCAGCTGGTGTGGGCAGCAAACGAAGGGGCAGATCAATTTCAGAAGGCCAGGATTGTGCAAAGGGGGCCATAGGAAGATAGACCCCAAGCCCCCAGGCAGGAACCAGAGAGAAGACCTGAGATCCACGCTCTTCCCTGAAGACCTTCCCAAGGAAGCTTCTGGCTAAGAAGGCCCAGGCTGGCCAGTGACCACCCCCCGCCATCACCGCGTCCGCCTGGCCCAAAGCCACAAGACTAGTGGACGGGGTCACAGCACTGCAGGTGTGTAGGCTGGAGCTGGGGATTGGAGAGAAAGCAAATAGAAGACCTAAAAGAATTGAGAGATTTGTCTTGGAACCACAGAAGCGGAGCGAGCTTAGAACAAAGGGGCCACCTGGAAAGGCTCTAAGGATTCCAGGGGCTCATTTGACACAACCCACGACACTACTTTGAGGGCCCCCTTCAACCGGAAAGGTTTTGTTGTTCTTCCTTCGAGTTTGCTTTCTTTTCATGACCATAAAGGAAAGCACGGCTGTGCACAGTGACACTTGTCCCTCTTGGTAAGTGGCCAGATGTTCTTAGGTTCCCTAGGAAGAGTTTTCTAATGCACGGGGCTACCTCAGGAGATAGAGTTCTGCCCTGGAGGTGTGGCACGTCAGGGTGGCAGAGGTCTCAAGGACCCGGAGAGATATGCCGTAGAAATTCGACTACTTTCCAACATTGTGTTTCTATGAGTCAAGTTCACAAAAACACTCGGGGGAGGGATTTTTTGTTTTAACATCTTTATTGGAGTATAATTGCTTTACAATGGTGTGTTAGTTTCTGCTGTATAACAAAGTGAATCAGCTATACGTATACATATATCCCCATATCTCCTCCCTCTTGCCTCTCCCTCTCACCCTCCCTATCCCACCCCTCTAGGTGGACACAAAGCACCGAGCTGATCTCCCTGTGCTACACGGGGGATTATGAAAGGATATTTGGAATGATCGTCCCTTAATTTAGGACGTGCCATGAAGGAAGACAACTGGGTCCACTCGCTGAACCCCGGGGACGTGTAGGGCATAGGGCGAGCTTGGAAACATAGCTCACGTTCTTGTATCAGCAGGGCTCCCGTCACATGGGGCATATCAGCAGGCAGCCTGCCCGGCCTCCCCCACCTTGGTTTCCCCACCACCCAGCACACTTAGCTGCGGCTTGTGTCTCAGCTTAGAGTAGAACACGGCCGGCAGGGAGAGTGGCTCCGTACTGCCTCTCTCAGGGGCAGGGGTACGCGGACCATGTCCCTATCTGCCAGCTCAGACACAGACAGGCTGGGACTCAAGGATCACAAACATACACAAACAATCACGTGTCTGGACACACACTGGTCCACGCGTGCACACCCACATGCACCCAGGCGCCCTGACCCTGCCCTGGCCACAGCACAGTGACTGCACCCCGGCTGTTGACTTTCCACTTAATCTGTAACTTCTTTTTGCCCAGTCTTGTTTAACTGGCAGACTGAGACCCCACCCCAGGATCCACCCTAGGCACTAGGCTTGGGAGGGTGAGGGTCATCGCCCTGAGTCTCTAAAAAGAACGTTCACCTCCCCATCTCTAAAACTGGCTGAATTCTTGCTACTTCCCTGCTCATGCAGGGGGTCCATCCTTCTCGTGCTGCTCACCCAAGTGGCACCCTCTGGAAAAATCGCAATCCTGGTGGGTTCCCCTCTGCGCGGGAGCCGAGTCAAACCTGCCCGCCCCCCACCAAAGGTCGGACCTCCCGACATCTGAAAGGCTTGTTTGGGAGGCGGGGCTTCCAAGGTAGGCCAGGTCACCTCCTCTTGCCCCGCTGGAGCTAGGCCAACGACATCCAGCCACAGGGGAGACCTTGGTCTTTGCTCCAGCCACAGAGGAAGGGCAGGGACCCAGAGAAAGAAGAGGTTTCACAGCTTTGCCACCAATGGCTGCAAAGTTCATGGTCAAAGCTAGAAGATTTCCTCTTCCTCGCTGCCTGATTTCATCCTCATGATTTCCCTTCAACTCCAGCCCCCACTCCCCTCAAGACGCCCAGGGTGAGGCTGTGAGGTAGGTGGGCCCAGCCAACCAGACACCATCTGGAGGGTCACCCACCCGCCCTACAACAAAGGCCTTTTCCTCCTTCCCCTGCACTCTGGCTGGAGAAGCCAAGACCAAGGTACCCAAGCCTGCTGGGTACCAGGCTTTTCTTTGAGGTCTGGCTCAAGGGGTGTCCCCCTCACCCTTGTGCCATGCTGCTGGCCTCAGACTAAAGAGTCAGAGGACAGCTGGCCCTTCCACCCTACCCCCTCCATTCCTCTGCATGTCCCCCCAGCTTTGCTCACTTGCCCTACTGTCCCCCAAAGCCCCAGCATCAGAGAAGTTAAGCTTCAACTTCAATCCATTCGGCTTCCTCTTCATCACCACCCTCATCACTGCTCCAGTATTGAACTCTTCCTCCATGCCAGATGCCCCAGCCCTGCAAGAGAGGTCCCACTGTCCCCCCTTTTTATAGATGAGGAAAAGAAGCAGTCTGGCTAGAGGAAAGGAGAACTTATCTCTGCAGCTCCTATGTCTTTAAATGGAAAGACTCCTGATACCCAAGGCACCAATAATTCTGGCTTTGCTAAAACTAAAGAAAAAATGTTAAGCAGCCATGCTCCCCCTTCCCCCCTCCCCCAAGGCACAGAATTTCTGGGAAGGCCCTGTTCCCATGACATGACTGGATTCCCAGTACTGAAGTAGGGGGGACAATATTTGCTGTGTTGACTAAAAATTAACCCAGCCTGCATGTTCCCTAACCCTGTCCCAGAGGGACCCAGAGCACAGTTTAGGATCTCCCCAGTCCAAACGCTAATCTTCCCACTGTCCACTCCCCCAGATTCCACAAGTCGAGGGTCAGTACACTGAATCAGGATTGTGGACTTCTGACACACGAGTCCCACCCCGCCCCCACCTCTGGAGGCCTGAGCTGTGTTAATCCACAACCTTTTCTGGCTTGGAAAGCTGGGACAGGGGGTCACGGCAGAGGGCACGGGATAGGGGGTTAGCTGGGAGAGGGATGGGGGAGACCTGCCCCAGGAGCAAAGAGTGGGCCTCTGGACCATAGAAGGCCAAGGGAGGGGGCGCGCTGAGTGACTGCTCTCCCCAGTCTCCTGCTGAAGCCCAGCCCCAAGAGGAAAAGGCAGGAAGAAGAGCGTGATTGACCTCTCTGCCCAACTATTCCCCAGGCAAGAAGGCCCTTGGGCTTCCCTGGTGGCGCAGTGGTTGAGAGTCCGCCTGCCGATGCAGGGGACGTGGGTTCGTGCCCCGGTCCGGGAGGATCCCATGTACCGCGGAGCGGCTGGGCCCGTGAGCCATGGCCGCTGGGCCTGCGCGTCCGGAGCCTGTGCTCCGCAACGGGAGAGGCTGCGGCGGTGAGAGGCCCGCGTACAGCAAAAAAAAAAAGAAGGCCCAAGCTTTGGGACGCAGGAGGGACAGTAGCCTATCGACAGTGGAAGGCTCAGGAGGACTGCAGGGAGAGGGGCCGAGCCCTGGACGCCTGGTCTCACCAGACACCCTGCAGGGCTACGGTACAACTCTAGGAGGCGCCTTTCATGCGGTGCAGTGTGGCCCGGGCCGTGGCAGGGGTACTTCTGAGAAGACTGGGAGGTAAGAGGGCATGGACACAGCTTGCTGAGTAGGTACCTAGTTTCCCCAGGGCCCCCCAGACCTCCCCTTCCCCTCTCCCGATATCTGCCTGCACTGCAAGGGTGGAGGCCAAGGCAAGGAGACCTTGGGCCCTGTAATCCAAAAGGGGCCTAAAGCTGCCCTTCGAGGCTGGTGTACACGATGTTCACAGGACACTCACAAACTGTTCACACCATGCCTCCCCAGCTCCTAGGGGAACAGTTTCTTCCACTTCAGGATGGGGTGTTCCTACACAGCCAGGGAAGAAGGGGTTCCCAAGACCCACTGAGGGCTCTTCTGTCCCACGTTCAAGTTGGTGAGAGAGGAGGAGCTCACCAGCCATCCTAATCCGGTGCCAGATACCCGCTGGCCGGTGGAGGGTGGAGGTGCGAAGCAAACAGAACCCGTTATACCCGGGGAGCCCAAGGGCTCAGCCCTCACTCCCAGTCTGGTCCTGTACCAGTACCCCTCCTCTCCCACTAGCACTGGCATCTCTGCCCCAGGATCAGTGACTTACACCCCCAGAAACCCCCCACCCCCGCTTCCCAGATGTGCTGGGTGTCAGGCTGGCATTTCTCCTAGAATGTTTTCTGCTGACCTATCTCTCGCTGCCCAGGGGCAGGAAGGGCAGAGAGGCCCGAGGCCCAGACCCCTGGGGTCCACCTCCTTCCTGTTTTCCCTGCATCCTGCTCTCCTCTGGCTAACAAGCTGCAGAGGATTGAGGAAGTGGAGCGGTCTGGGACCCAGGGCAGGAAGCTTGGGGCCGGAGTCCCAGCATCCGGACTGCAACAATGGAAGCTTCAAGCACCAGGAAAAGAGACAGAAACAGACAGAGGCCCAGGGAGAGCAAAACAGAGTCGGAGAGGGAACAAGAAACAGAGGCAGAGGTAGAGTAGGCAGACAGAGAGATTCTGAAAGCAACAGAGAAAGACAGGAACAAAGACAGAAAGAGAAACGGTGACAGAGTCAAGAGAATGAGCAACGGAAAGAGACTGAGATGAAAGTGAGCAAAGCAGGGCAACAAAAACAGGAAAAGGAATAGAATAAAGAGAAAGAAACATAACGGGCAGGAGATATTGAGGAAAGGAGAATCTGAGAATGTTGTTAGTGAAACTAGAGGTTGAGAGACGCAGCAGGAAAGAACAAAAGAATAAGAGAAAGAAGGAGAGAGACAGAAAGACTATAAGGGAGAAACTGAAAGTCTCACTGAGAAATAGAAACAGAGAAAGTGTAAGAATGAGTTTAGGGCCAAAGACCTTCTAAACCTCTCTCTCCCTTTCTCTCTCTCTCTCCCCACCGCCCAGCCCTCCACTCTCTACTGCCTGTCCCGTTAGGTTTCTGCAGCTCTGGGCTGGGAGCCAAGACTTGCTTCTCTTCTGCCACCTCAAATGGCACCTGCCAGGAGAAAGGAGCAGGGTGCCTGTGTAGCAGGGCAGGAGGAGGTGCCCAGGCCTGGCAGAGAGACCCCTGTCTTCCCAATACCTCTCAAAAAGCTAGGTGAGCCGGCCTGGGGCTTTGAGGAAGGGCCACTCTGATGCCCCTCACCACCAAAGCCACTCTAATTTACATGTCCCACTCCACCCCACCTCAATGTCAAAAGCCCGAGCCCTGGCTTTGCAGACCCCTGGGGCCTCCACTTGTGTCCAGGGTGAGAGGAGGTCCCTGGATCAGGAACAGAACGCCTCCACTGCCACCAGCCCCATCCTCCAGGTATATGGCCCTAGACTGCTCACTGGCAGGCTGTGGGCTGGGCCAGGTCACTTCATTTTCCACTCTTGTCCCAGCAGCCAGGACTACCACTGAGACCTCTCTTCCCAAATAGACACCCCTGAGATGGAGGGATGGGACAGAGTCCTCTTTGATGGTGGCAACAGGCTGCTAGGGACTTGACAGCAGTTTCCTTGGCTGACCCTGTCCCGTGCCAGTCGGGCCCTGCCACATACCTGCCTTCTGCTCAGCGCACAGGGGATTTTCAAGAGCCTTTCAGGCCAACCCGAATGGGGAAGGGGCTTCTGGGAGGGGAGGACCCCAGGGAGGGCGTGCAAGGGCTGGGGCACCTTACCAGAGGGCTGCAGGCTTTCCTGGATAGCCTCGATCTCTGCCAGTTCCATACACACGCCTTGCCCGTGCACCAGCGTGTGCAGGGGCTTCTCCACGCCCCGGGGCGGGTAGCAGCGCAGGCCGGAGCCGCAGCGGGGGGTGTACACCCCGCAGGGCATCCCCTTGCCCAGGGCGCAAGTGGCGCAACAGCCGCAGCCCGGCTCTCGCACCAGCTCCTCGCAGCCCACGGGGGGGCGGCAGCGCGCCAGCTTCTCCTCGGAGCAGGGCGGGCAGTGGATGGCTTCGTCGCCCAGGCTCGGCCCGGGCCCGGCGGCCAGCAGCAGCGCGGCCACGAGGCACAGGGGCAGCATGACCGGGCGAGGACGGGGCACGGGCGGACAGCGGGGGACACAGAGGCAGCTCCCGGCGCGCCTGGAGGACCCGACCCGGAGGGCGCGGGGACACGGGGCGGCTCCGCTGGCGGACAAGGACGAAGCCGAGGAAGTTAGCAAGCGGGCCGGAGGAGAGCGAGCCTGGCGCTGCGCCGCATCCTCGGCCCGGCCCAGGCGGCTGGCTGTAGGGGGGCAGGGGTCTGAGCTGCTGCCCGGGACCGGCTCCCCCGGACTTTATACCGGCCCCTGGCCACACCCCCAGCGCCTTCCCGGGGGGAGGGGCAGGGGGAGGGGGGAGGGGGCAGGGGGAGGGGAGGGGGGCCCAGGGAGAGGGAGAAGGAGAGGCGGCGGTTAGGGGGAGGGGGCGCTGTCCTAAGTCGTCGCTGCTGCCGCCGCCGCCGCTACTACATCTGAAAGTCCTTTTCTGCCGCAGGAGAAGGCGGCGCAGTTTGGAAGCCACGGCAGGCGCCGAGAGCGCTTCTGAACCGGAGCCCGGGAGGGCAGCGAAGGGCGAGCGAAAGCGAAGGGGCGGCTCCGTGGCCCCCTCCCCCGACCTGGGAGGATTCTCCCCGGACCCCACTGAGATGGCCCCGCAGTCCCCCCGCACTGAGAGCGCGGCGACCTCCTAGCCCGGACTCCCAGCTCCGGGGATTCAGTCTCCCTGGCCAGAGTCCTTCCCACCCCACTCCAGTGCTTCCAGTCTCAGCCGCTGGAGACCAAGTCTGGTGAGGAGGGGAAAAGGGGCCCAGAAGGGCCTAATGGCCCTAAGAGGTTGATAGGCTCTCTCCCCACTCGCCCCTTCCAACCTGCCCCTGCCCCCAATCTCCCCAGGGTTCATTTGGGCCCCTGTCCCCTCTGCCTTACACAGGATGGCATCAACAGAACTCGCACCGGGAGAGGGAGGTGCCAAGACGCTTGCGCCTTCCTGGATGTTTGCTTCTACTGCCCAGACCCACTCCCAGAGGGATATCAGCTGAGGAGATTGCCACTCTCAAGTGCACATTGTGCATTGCACAACTCCAGGGGGCACCATTTCTCCGGTAGTCATCGTAGACTTGTATAGCTGTTGTGACTGCTTTCCAGCAGATGGCACTCAAGCGTTTTGAGAAAGGGGTGCCTTTTTCTAATGCACCCAGCAGTGCTATCTGGGCTAGTGTCAGGGGTGGCTAGGCCCTCTGTGAGATCCTGTTGGTGCCTGTATCCCCTACCCTTTGCCTCAGTCTTGCTGGGACTAGGAGAGGTTCTAGAGTAGCATGTGGAGAAGGGACTCCTCTCCTAGGTGGTCTCTCAGGTCCCCCCGGGGTTTACCCATCCTCCCCCACAAAACTTTCTGCTATCCTGGAGCTGATTTCAGGGTAACGGCGCCTGTCCAGGCATACCTGGTGACCTGCTGTGGATTTGTTTGGCTTGGCCTAGAGAGCTGCAGGGCAGCCAAGCTGAAGTGCAGATCAGAGACCCTCTTCCTGCTTCCTCTCCCAGGGCAGGGGTTTTTTCAATCTCCCAGGGATTGGGCCCTCTCCTACTTTCTGCAAGTACAGACTGTCCAGGTGAGAGGAGGAAGAGGAGCTAGAAGCTGGACCTGCAGGGGCAGAACCAAAAGTTGGAAACTGACGGCACCTACTGGCAACCATAAAGACTGCAGGAGGGCTGGGGAGTTATGGCCGAGGACAAGATTCTGGGATTCTCTCCGCGCCGTCTCATGGACTACTGGGGTCTCTTCTGCCCCATCTGCCTTGGAGAAGGGTAAAGAGAACCAGGATCCTCAAGTCTCTGGGGGAACCCTGGCCTGTCCCTGATTCAGAAAACTGCCCCCAGGCCCCTCCCCGTCCTTCACCATCAATGGACCCAGTTCTGCCACAAAATTATTGTGTGAACTTGGACACCACCCCTTGGAGCTCGAATGTCCCTAACTGCAATGGAGGTAGGTCATCTCCACCTAGCCTAGCTTTTGAAGCTCTTGTGAGAATAAAATGGGACCAGGAAGAATAGTTCTGATCCCAATGCCAGACTTGTCTTCTAGAGACCGCAGACCTGGGAGGCATAAAGGTACTGGGACATGGAGGAAGGAGGGCAGAACTGGCGATGAAGCATGAATGCAGGTGAGTGTAGGAAATCTGGACAGGTTTCCAGGTGAGACAGATGCCCACACTCCTACCCCAGCAGCCCCCCCAATCCATCCTCGGGCTCACCCCCATCACCATCTAGGATAATTCCTGGGAGGCAGGAGAATGAACACAAGGAGGCCCCCCCACCATTCATGCAAACCACCTTTACTGAGCGCCTGTTGTGTGCAGGCTTTGTGCTACATCCAGGGGATCCAGACACAGCTGAGACCACTGTCCGCCCTCAGGGAGCTTACTGCCTAGTGAGGGGAGACAGACATGTGAATAAAATAAGTGCAGGTGCCCTGGGGGTGTTTATAGGGGGCAGGGTGGGCCAGAGGCACAAATGGTCAGTTCGACCTCCAGGGCGTGGAAAGACTTCATGGAGGAGGTGACCCTTGAGCCAATGGTCTTCCATGCTAGAGGAACAAACACAGGTAGCATCAGGCTAACCTGGATTCTATCCCAGTTTTGCCACCAAGGTCACCGGGGAACCTGAAACAAGTTACTCTCTGAGCTTCACTGAGGTTCACTTTTGTTTTCTTTTTTTTTTTTTAACATCTTTATTGGAGTATAATTGCTTTACAATGGTGTGTTAGTTTCTGCTTTATAACAAAGTGAATCAGCTGTGCATATACATATATCCCCATATCTCCTCCCTGTGGCATCTCCCTCCCACCCTCCCTATCCCACCTCTCTAGGTGGTCACAAAGCACAGAGTTGATCTCCCCGTGCTACACGACTGCTTCCCACTAGCTATCTATCTTACATTTGGTAGTATATGTAAGTCCATGTCACTGTCTCACTTCGTCCCAGCTTCCCCTTCCCCCTCCCTGTGTCCTCAAGTCCATTCTCTACGTCTGCGTCTTTATTCCTGTCCTTACCTGGAAAATGGTAAGAAAGAAAAACGGGTGGGGAGGGAAGAGAGAGAAAGAAAGAGTGGCCCGTGCAGTACCCAGCAAACAGTAGACACCAAATGTTTGCTCCCTCGTGTCCCTCCCTGGTGGAAACTAACTTCTCCACGTGGCTGGAGATCCCTCGGTGGCAGGATCTGTGTGTCCCCCACCAGACCAGAAGTTCCCGGTGGACTGGGTTTAGTATCTCCTCCTCCTCTGGCCTGCTGGTGTCTGCGAGAGGCTGTATATAAAGGGCATGGGATTTGGAGTCCCTGGCCCTGGGTTCGAGTAGCAGCACAGCCACTTAAGAGCTTTGTTCACCAGAAACTAACATAACCTTGTAAATTAACTATACTTCCATTTTTTAAAAAAAAGAGTTTTGTGACTTTGGACACACACTTAATGTCTTGAAGGGTCATTTTCATCCTCTGTTAAAAGAGAGAGAGAGAGAATCATTGGGCTTGCCCCACAGGATGATTGCAAGAAAAAGTGAGATAATGGAAGAGAAAGGGCTTTGGAACCCGAGGAATGAGAAGCAGATGCTGCTTATTGGTTTTCTCCACCTGACTGCCGTCTATTTGACGACAGGGAGCCCCCCAGAGGCAGAAACCTGCTTCTCCTTCTCTGTGGTCTTCCCCAGCCCAGGGCTCTACGGGTAAAAGAAACTCTTCCTTCCCCTCAGCATCCCTGTCTGTCCCTCACCTCCTGGACACCCAGGGGGGCCAGGAAGATGCTCCTAATGGAGGGGTGAAAAGCCTCGCTCCCTTCAGCCTCTTCCACCCCACACCCTCACTAGCTCCCTTGTTAGGTCAGTATCAAATGTCTACTGGGCTCCAGCTGGGCTTCTTAGATAATCAATAAGAAAAAGAGCTCTACTCCCAAGGGAAAGACACAGTCCTGTCCTCAGGGAAACCCCCGATCTGATGGGCTTGCCCCAGGGAGCATCTCATAGGATGGAGTAGGCAAAGTGTACATAATGATGAAGATTAACATTTAATGAGCGTGGACCTCACACTGGACATGTTCTGAGTGCTTCACTATGTCCCCTTCACAACAACCTCATGAAGTAGTTAGTCACTCTCATTATCCCCTTTTTAAGATAGGGAAGGTGAGGCACAGAGAGGTATGTAACTTACTCAAGGTCACACAGCAAGTAAGTGGAAGATCAGGGATGTGAACCCAGGCAGCCTGGCTCCAGGGTCTGTGTGATTAACCCTTATGGTTTACTGCCTTCCAAAACAGCTGGTCGGAAGCATTGTAAACAAAAGCTGAGAGCAAAAGACTACAGTGCAGCGTGCAGGCTAATCAGAGCAGAGGGGACATTGATGTGGGACGGGGCCCCAGGCCTCCCCATAACTTTGGCTTCCCAGCCCCTGTCTGGCTGCCCTGCACTGTCCACTGTGCCCACACCAAATAGGGAGCTCAGCTTCCCTCCATGTTGGCTGATGTCCAAGCCCCCGATACAACATCCTTCGTAGTCGCCCCAGGTGTGGGCTGAGCAATGGCATCTCAGTATGGCTGCCTCCTTGCCCACCTGGGCCCCACACTTGGCGAGACCAGATCAGGAGAGCAAGGATCTCCACAAAGACTCCACAGCACAGAGGGAGGTCTGGTCCAGAGGACAGAGCCTGAGTCCTTCCCGCAGGTCATGCAGCTCCAGAAGTGAACACCCAGGCAGGGGAGAGAGTGGGGAAAGGAGAGCCCATCTGCCGTTGGGCTGGCCGGGATCCAGTTTCATATCTCCAGTCCATCCTGCTCTGCTGCTTGCGAGCTTTGTGGCCACTTGCCCTTCCTCGGCTTCAGTTTTACCACCTGTAAAATGGGGGGAGGGGAGCTCATTGAATTGTGAAGTCCTTTCCAGCTGGAGCAGTCTAGGAATCTAGAACCTCTGGAGTTCTTTTACGTGGTCCTAGGCCCAGTGTTGGCATGGCTTCCAACCCTCCAGAGTTTGCACTGTTTCCAGACTTACTGGCACTGGCAAAATCTCTGTCTCATTGCTCAAAGCCTGCACAGCAGATGAGCCGAGTGAATGATGCTGGGCTCTTTGAGAGCTCTGTCACCACCCAGAGACGTGATAAGGCTCTCCCAAAGGCACACAGCGAGTAAGTAATCCAGCCAAGACGTAAGCGAGATACAGTTACTGCCTGCTGCAGACTTAGCCCCCTGTGCCATGCTACCCCTGCTGCCAGAGCATCGCCAGCAAGCCACGGGTTCGAGACTCAGGGAAGGTGGA